CAAGACTGGGTGCCGCCGAGTTCTGTTCTGAAACTAGACGGTCAGGAATTAACTGAAGTTGATTGCTTCTCGTACTTAGGTAGCTGCGTGATCAACGACGGTAGCGCATCAAAGGAGATAACCACCCGTATTTCCAAGGCTCGAGCAGCGTACGCAGGACTTAAGCACCTGTGGCAGCGACGTGACGTTTCACTAAAGTTGAAAAGTTGTGTACACTGCGCCACCGTAGGATCAGTTCTACTTTAAGGTTGTGAGACCTTGGATTTGCGGGTAGAAGACACCCGTCGTTTAGCAGTGTTCGACAACCGATGCTTACGTAGTCTGGCCCAAGTGGGATGGAGTGAGCGGGTTAGTAACTTGGGAATTAATTCGTCGGGTGTTTGGGAATACATTAAACAAGCACTCGCTATCGCATCGTATCCAGCTCAGTAGGCTCCGTTAGTTAGGGCACGTTTTGCGTATGTCCGACGGTCACCTACCGCAGCGCGCCTTGATCACAGTGGCTGTTACAAGCTGGAGAAAGCCACGTGGAGGCCAGCAGATGACGTGGAGACGAGGCATAAAGAAGTGCACAGAGCGATTAGGTACAGTAGGTGTCTCTCATCTTCCGGGTTGGGGTCCAAATGACTCCGAAACCGCATGGTTGGAGACACTGAATGTTATGGCTGCGAACCGACAGCAATGGTGATCATGCTGTCACTTCTTATCAGACCAGAATGTTTGAAATTTCATGTATGTACAGTTGGGCTGTGTACTCTGTGTGTTGACGATAGAGGTTCGCTTTATTCTTCCGTCCCTACAAATAGGCCCAGTACTTGTCCTCCTTACACATTCTCATTTATCTCGTATGCATTATGAGTTTGGCAGCGATCAATGAAGTTCGCTTCACTGTATTAGGCTGTACAATGATGACAATGATGATGCTACGCTGGTTAGGACACATATTGCAAATAACCAGCTATCGTCTACTGCACTGCGCTAGTTTACAGTTGCGGCTTCAGGTTGGAAGAAACCAGATGGCGTGGAGATGAGGCATGTAGAAATGCACAGAGAGATTAGGTAGAATATATCTTCTGTCTTACAAGTGGTGGCCTAAAAGACTGAATACTGATGGTTGAAGACACAAAAGGATATTGGAAAATAACCGACGGCAGTGGCCTTCTTGTTCTCAGTTCTTATCAGGTCAGAATGCTTGAAAAGGTATGTATGTACAGTTAGGTTTTGCACTCCGTGTTGACCACAGGGATTCACCTTCTTTTCCGCCCTGCAATTACGACCAATCTCTTTCCATCTTGTACTCAACACTTAATTTGTGTACATTGTGAGCTTGGCAGCGACCAGCAAAGCCCACTTCGCTGTATCTCGCTGTGTGATGATAATGATGACAACACAGGCGCGCTCACAAAAATTATCGCGTACCCATCGTACATACGTGCACACTAAAGCGTTATCCCATTTCTATGGTTTGACCTTTTGTCCCTTTTTCCATACACTCAATGTCATGCGATTCGTCACCATTCAGTAAAGCTACATGCTCTGAACCTTATACGTTCCTTGCTCCTTGCGTTCGCTTGGGGTTAGGCGCAATGTACGGCCTGGAGGTGGTTTTTGTACTTACAGTAACGAGTCTGAGGAGAGAGGTTTAGACTTATTCTTCAAGTGTTCGAATAGTATGATTCAAACTCAAAAACCACGTTTGATGTGGTTAAGTTTATCAGGAACCCTGCTCCGAAAACAGACCAACATTGGAATCCACATCATATGCAAACCCCATTTGTGACCTGTATCCAATATACCACCTATAGTGTGAAAAATTTCCCTAGAATATAATATGATCACGCAACACAACACAGCACATCACTAACCTGGTCTTCCAATGGGATAGTGAAGTAATCACTCTTGTATGGAGGTAATCTTCGGGGCAAATGCGCATAGCTCAAGGTTTCCTGTACATCACCACGATCTTTCAAATCCAGCTCGTCCAGTAGAAGAGGAGTATTTGGACATGAAGGCACAGTGTCCAATGCTTTGCAAACGCGATGAAAAATCATACCACATTTTTGACATTGAAAGCCTTGACGAAAAAGACCTACACGGACACGCATAGTTGGCAGGGAGAGGAGTAGGGAGAGACGGTCGACCAGGATGTGATGGGAAATTCGTGGCAGATAAACTTTATCAGAAATTAGCTGCAAAGATGAAACACCTCTGAAGCACAAACAACAATGTCAGTGGTGTAGTCAGAACCAATCTAACTCGATTTTAGACAACTCTGAGCACATGTATATGCCTGCCGGCTTTTATACTAAACAAACGTCGGTGAGTACATCCTCTGAGCTATTCTGATTCGCATCCGAAAAATTAAATTTGTCGAGAGCTTACGGAAATTCAAGAATTAGCCCATTGTCCCCTGAAAGTTCCAATACTAAGTCCTGGTTGTAATTCATTTCCCGAGAGAATTTCGACACTGAGGTGCGAGGATGTCACCGCCATTGAATCATTGAGCCAAGGCTCGACAAAATAAGTTCTGGATAATCCGGTAGACAGAACAGTAGTCACAAATAGACTCCCATTCACGATTTTATAGAATAACACCTACCGTTCGAAAATAGATTTAGAATCTCTTAATGAAAATCTATTTATTTATCTGAGAAAAAATCTATTGAATGCTTATCTACTTATCTGCTTGACAGCACCGGGCCAAGGCGTTGACCAGCAAAATCGAAGAGTAGCATATGAAGGTAAACAGACTGCGTGGACAACAAGTGGGGTTTAAACAGAACCGTTTTCACACTGTGATAACGACCGGTGGACAATAAATTGTTCTCAGCGATTACAAATGATACTTTTATAGATTACATATTTGGCAGGACAGTACCGATACCCAAGCCGCTGGGTAAGTTAAAGACCATTTCCCGAGAGAATCACTTAAGGAGAAAAAGTGAAAAAATATTCCAATTTTTTACGGAATCATAATGTGAAGAGACAAAAATCAACTGGAGTGAGAGAGAGAGAGAGAAAAAACGCCGGTACTCGAGCAGTTTCGAAGTGGTAATTGAATGGAATGTCTTTTGACATCACTTTTGGAGATAACGTTTCATCGTACGGTTGAAATGGAACCTGTTAGATGACCGTTCCCGTATGACAATCTCTCCCCATGGAAGTGAGATTTGGTATCGCTCCTTTTTCTTCTTCTTTTCAGTAAAGAGGTAAAGGACTACCCTTCGCAGTGCTGGGTGCCAAAATTGATTGCATATCACCGAAGGAATTCTGGACGTTCGACTGGCCGTGGCCATTTTCCGTCCTGTGCAAACGGAACTGAACTTACCTACGAATGAAAGACTGAAATGTATGTATTATATTGTATGTATGGATAGATTGCGGTGTTTCTAGGATAAACTAACGTAGCAAAACTTACAGCACGTTTATCTTCCAGGCTCAACAGTAAAATCTCATTATTATTATCATTATTTGTTTACGTAGTTGGGTGTAAAGTGTGATATTTTGTCACTCAGTGAACAAATTTTGCGCCATTTCCGATCATTTAATACCAACTCTAAAAATATTACACCTGAAAAAGCTCGAAGTAGAAATACCAGAGCCTACACAAAACTGCGAATACAATACAAAACATCGCTAGTTAACAAGCCAAGCATTTGTATCTTTTGCCATGTAAGAGGTTATTATTATTAGTAATTATTAAGTCAGTGATGAACAGCATCAATACGAGACCAATTCCAACCCGAATCCCAAATGACAGCAAAACCCAACGGTTGTGTGCCGCAGCAAACCAGGAATCTTGAATTCGGAATTTCTCCAGGAAGTGAGTTCCACGGTACTTGTTCGATCTCCACTTCACTCTCGTTTACCCCAATCACTACTGTAGTGATGGCACCATGCTCGTTCGCAAGTCAGTGACATAGATATATATATATATATGTATATAATTATTTTGTGTTGTGTAAAAAGGTTATTTTTCTCTAAAACTGAGATTTGTGGATGAAATTTTTCACCCCCAACAGAAAACAGCAATCAATGCCACATGTTTTTTGTGAGACGATTCCACTATGGATCATGATTTTCTTTTAATTAAAATCATAAAATGATTTTCATGCAACCAAATACACAAAACACTTCTAAAGCCATATGACAATGAAGTGTGATTGAAACAAGTGGAAAAGAGTATTGCACATGTATCAGGTTACGTAACTCAGCCATATAACTCTCGTATGTGAACAATGTGAATATCTTCGAACAACGTTCAAACGTTCAATCTGGAACAACAGATACCCTTTACCCATATCGATGACCGGACTCGGATTGTTTTGTACAACAACCTGGGTGTCAGTTCACATGGAAATCGCAGCAAACTGGCATTTACTGACTCAAGGCTTTCATGGAGAAGGAAAAACATTCGGTTTTCGGAGCAACTCAACAAGCCCGAATAGGCGAACGTAACACAAGCCTCCCACCGTCCACACCCGAAAAAAATACACCAAAGCCCCGAATTCCTCCGAAGATTCGCCAAAGGAGATATCGGATTTCCACACTGCTAATCTCTAGCATAAACCTCGAGAAAGAAACGGAAGTTGAAACCGGTTACGCGATTGTATATCTCAAGGAAGAGAACAACTACCAAACTCACCTAACAGTGGGAGTCCACAAAGAGCACATGCAACTTCCTGGGTGAATGAGCTGATTTTATAATTGTGCTCTAACACAGGAGCAGCATCATCCGTTGACACAGTGCTCTCTTCCTCTTGGCTCAACTGGTCATTCAATGAGGATCGATTCGACAGAGTCTCCGATGCTTTGCTGCTCAGATCTCCGCCTACGGTTGGTTGAGATCCTTTGAGTACCTAGGGGTCCGCAAATAAATTATGACGGAATGAATTCACGTGAGGATTGAAAAATTATAGTGGTGTTCTAGTAATTCAGAGTCAGTGGGTCAGTCAACGACTTGCAGAAATAAATGCAGATTTCTCATTATGCTACTAACAACATTGACGGTAGTTAAATTCAATTATACGTATGAATGGTCAATAACGAACCACCAAATGATCTCCGCAGTTTTCCTAGCTCTTGAAACCAGAAGTACAGTATGAATTGCTCCACCGCATAACCTATGACTCTGCATAACAAAATTCACTTCTGACCCCTTTTGCCCTTCACCTGGATTATTTCCCGCAATGCGCACAACTTGTACTCACTCCCTCAAATTGGCTCGAGACTGTTTGATGACCGGTTTACAATGTGACCCGTGTGTGAGAACAACGAAATAATCCTATGATGTTCAAGTGCTACCATAGGAGTACAACAATAGACTACCGAGTCCACCAGATTTTCTCTTCAGCTATAAAGAGTCAGACAAGCACTAAGGATCGGTCGGATGAGTCAGGTGCAATGAGGGTCTGACCAAGCTAACACGGGAATGAGAACCGATACTTTGCTGACCACCGCGAATCCACGGAATTTCCAATGAACCTCAACAGTCTACAGCAGGTATCATCACCACATCTTTTACGGACACTACAAACCCGTGATTAGGCAGTCTTGTATCAGGTTGGGGACTAGGAGTTTCACAAATTACGGAAAACTATTCAGACAGCGCAAAACGGACCAGTGGGTAATATGGCTGCCCGAGGTCACGGTTGGCAGCGAAACAGCGGAGCAATCACACTGTACCGTAAAAACGAAATCATTAGAGAAAACAGTGTGTGTGATTAACCAAAAAGCCATTCATACTGTACTTTTAAATGAAGAGCAAAACTATGACTCAATTGTGATTGATAAAACATTGTCAAACTGGGCCAGTAATAACAAAAGAACATGACAAATTAAAAACGTTGAAAAACCCGAAAAAATATGCTTACCATGATAGCCCGACGCAACGCTTGTCGGGCAAACGGATCGACGACTTGGTCCAACTGGGATGAGTAGGGAGCGAGCTGTAGGAGCAGATTACCATCGATTCTCTTGCGTAAAAATAACATTACGAATCGGCTCAGGCCGACCACAGTGAGCCAGTGGGACACTTGTGATCCGCTCCATTGGGTTAGGGGCTGATAGAGAACACCATAGGTAGACGTGAAACAAAAAGGTGTTATCCACAATTATCACAACGACATGCATTATATAGTTGCCGATGGGCGACTTTTCTATTGCCTGACTTAGTATTCCGCTTATCCTACCAATACAATGTTACAGGAGTGGGTTCGTCCAGTTTCTAAACTTCCTCTTGCTAGGGAAGCAATGGGGAAAGTAGGTAAATTTTGTTACTTAAGCAGCTACATTTCACTCGGAGGNCCAATCACGGATGAAATACAGGCACGTGTATAGAAGGCGCGGTTGGCAGTAGCCACCTTGAGACACCTCGAGCGTTGAAGCGACACTCGGTTGTCCGTGAGAGAGTGAGTCTATTCTGAAGCGGTTCAGTCGGTGCTGATGTATCATGCATATAGACCTGATCGTTTGAGAACCGGATAAAAGTAGACTGATGGTGTTCGAACACCGCCCTTGATGCTGCATTGCATGAGTCTGATGGGGTAACCAAGAAAGCATACCCTGGGTTAGGCAACCACGAACGCCCACTAGAGCACGTGATCAACCTATGTATATATTACGCTGATTGAAAGCACGTGACGCACGTGCCAATAAATACACTGTCCACGGTTGCAATGTTTACTGAGACAGGTACTGGCTGGAAAAGGATCAAAGGTGGTCAAAATAAAACCTAGCATCAGAGTATAAAAGCCGTGACCGAGGGACTTGAATAAACAGGTTACCTTAGACGCCCCAGATGGGGGACCTCGGGATCAGTCTAACTGATGATTAGAAAAAATTGAGAGATATGGCACTGATGCATCTACTCAACCTTGAACTACCTGAATCTCTATCTTCACCCTGATACTGCACCCATCTTTTAGCTCTCTCCTCTATTCATTCATTTAAATGAGCTATGAAAAACAGCACACAGAACCCAGCATAAAAGTGCAAGGATAATTGTTGCAAACAGTGATACTGGTATTGCATATCATAGACAAGACCGCTCGCCATCTGGGAGGGCAGAGCCTAAAACAAAAATAGAAAGAAAAACCTAGCGTGAACACGGAACTCGGGTGAATGAACGAAATCAGACTAGTGTGATATTTTGCCAGAATCATCAGCAGAAATTCTAGTGAAAATGTGTGAGAGAGAGAGAGAGACGGTGCCGCTTGGATCGATAACCAACTAGTCGACGTTGTTAGTATGACCGAGGACCCGTATGAATAGGTACGGGTTGATTACGGATAAAAGAAATGAAGCAGGGCTTCACTAGTCCAAATCCGGTGGCCAATTCGCAGTGTGTATTTACGATGCACCGAAAGAGTCTGGATGAAGTACAACTAGGGAAAATCAGACCGAGAGCATTTTTGCCCATTTTCGAGACAGAATAAACAAATGCGACAAACAAACCACTGTCTGGATCCGGAGGTAGTCAGAGTCTTTTCAACCCGAACCGCATAAAATCCACCCAAACAGTCCTAGTTATTTGGGCCCATATGACTCAAAGTTCAGCGGGAACAAAAAATAGCAAAACAGCCAGGTATGCACACATCTTTTTTCAGTCAGTTAATTCTGACAACCAAAAAGAACGATTAACTGACAGAATACTGACGACTGTAGCGAATGTTGCCAATCAGTAATGGGAGGGAAAGCATACATTCGGTGGCTAACTGCGTACTGAGTGAGTACGAAGCAAAGTCTGGTCTGGAGCGCAAAGTGTAAACAAACTGCGGAAAGAAAGCAACAGCAGATTGCAGCAAGTGATCACAGAATACATGCATCATAAATGGTACTCTAAGATGAGAACCGATAAAGATAGCGTTGAAAAGTTAAGGTTAGTACGGGATAAAATGTAATTCACAACTTCAAAATATGCTCCATTTGTTCAAAGGTCAGTGTATAGAGCTAAATCGAGCGTTAGAATTCATGCGGAATATATAAATCATTCAGTGCAGTTCAGCACAGACAGGTCAACTTTGAATAGCATCGTGCAAGCGAAACTTGGTGAGGTCGGACTGGAGTATCTTGCATGAGAAATAAAGATGAATACATGAGGAAAACCTACAACAACTGTAGATGCATTATGTCTGTGTAGTTTATTCATATAATCAAGGCTCTGGTTACTCAAGGAAATCTACTTAAGCGCATCAATTGTTGTTTCATTGATTGATTGATTGATTGATTGATTGATTGATTGATTGACTGATCGATTGATTGATTGATTGATTGATTGATTGACTGACTGACTGACTGACTGACTGACTGACTGACTGACTGACTGACTGACTGACTGACTGACTGACT